ATCTCACTCACACCTCACATAAAATACTCTAGTTATTCTAGCCTTTCACAGTAGAGAGATGTCATTTTAACCGAATCATTTAAATTATATTTTAGTTGTGTTATCTCTCATTATTTACTATTACATTAATACTTGACAAATAGTATATAAATTCATTTTTGTTCATCATCAACTGTTATGGATGTTTTTACCACATTTGTGATTATTATTTTTATCACTTTCCTTCGATAAAAAAAAAATTATCAATTTGATAAATGATTTACCGTGTTTGTGAATAGTTTTACTATTATTTTGGTAATTATTTTTACTATTTTTTTAAATATTATAACAGTAATAAAAATATAATAAATATAAATATAAAAAATTAGTAGAAAACGGAAATTTGTTTATTGGGCATCGTGGACAACTGACAAAAACAATTAGGAACGTTGCCTAACAAGTGTCGTTAGTCTTTAACTTTGACCAAATACTATTAACAGTAAGGAAAATAATATTTTTGTTTGTCCATACTTTGTTCTGTGTTTGGTTCTTAGCATTCAATTTGTTTTTCGTAATGGATGAGACCACCGTTATAGTTTCGTTTATTTTCCATGTTGATTAAATTCAAGAATATGCATAGTCTCATGAAATTATTCAACAATACGCCTTGACTAGATCATTTTTGCAATTGAGAATTTTAGTAGCTAAAAGCTTCTTACCAGTGACATCCTCTGTTAAATACTTAGCTTCAAGTGAACCCAAATTTCAACTATTATAGTTTATAATCAACCATGTAATTTGCTTGTGTTTTTTGTCGTCATTGTTTTTTTTTTTTTTCACTAAATTGTAGTTGCCAATATTGATCTCAATTCTATTATGAGTTCTTCTCAGTTTGATGCAGACATTGAGTAATATAGTAATCATATAGACTGCTGTCGGAGGGGGATGTTTTTCTATCTACTTGTCAAGATTCAAGAATGCTGGCTAGGCAAAAAGAGACAAATCACTATAATGCCCTCCTGTGGTTTGGACCAGCCTATCTGAGCATGCTTCCTTGAAACTTCCTTTGAAGTAGGTAGGGTTTGATCTCTCACATTGCTATGTTCAGTTGCTTGATTGCACATGGGGAAAGTGGGTCTGGAATTGGAAATCTGGTAGCAAGAGTGGCTTTGGAAGGTAAACTTTATGTGACACCTCTCCATGAGTTCATCTCGAGTCTTGAGTGTAATTGAGCCTTCCACAATTTTATAAAGGAAATTTAGAAGGCAGTACAAAAATTTGGATTTAATTGAGTTAAAATAGATTTTAAAAAATTATTTGGTCTTAAATACAATTTTTTGAAAAAAGACTAAAAGGTCATTCATTACTTTATTACTTTCTCTCTTCCTCTCTATCCATTATTCTTTTACTGTCTTTTTCCTATTTTCTCTCTCTCTCTCTCTCTTTTCTTATTGACAATTTTTTTTTTAAATATGTAAATATTTAATTTAATTTTTTTTATCCCTATTTTCTCTCTTTTTTCACTCTCTCTCTCTCTCCTTATTTTCTCTTACCGTTACTCTTTCTCTCCATATTCTCCCTCCCTCCTTCTCCCTTTCCCCCATTGATAATTTGTTTTCTTTCAAATATGTAAATATTTGCTTTGATTTTTTTCATCTTTCTTTGCCCTATTTTTTCTCTCGCTCTCTCGCTCTCCTCACTCTATCCCACTATTTTCTCTCGCTCATTGTTACTCTCTCTCTATTTCCTTCTATCAATGTTACAATAACACAATTAAACGAATCAGTAACACCAATTAGTTATAATTGCTCTATAATATACCTAATAGTTACTTGTATTCTAATAAATTAAACAATTACATGAAATTATAACACTGACCTAATTTGTTATTCAATTGTTTACATAAAACAAAGAGTTATAACATTTAGTATCACGACATGGTTATACCAATTATATACACCAAATTTGGTTTATCATTACACAAAAGAGTTTGCTATTATATCAAATTTAGTGTATATAATTAGTATAACCATATCGTAATACTAAATGGTGTAATAATTTAGTTTATGTAAACAATTGAATAACAAATTTGGTAGATATCATAATTTTGTATAATTGTTTGGTGTAACTGTTTGATTTATTATAACACACGAGTAATTGTTTGTTGTATTATAGGACAATTAGAATTGATTGGTGTAATTATGTTATTGTAATATTAATAAAGAGAGACAGAGATAGGCAGAGAGAGTAACAAGTTATGAAGAGATAGAGTAATAGTGAGAGAAAATAGGGAGAGAGATATGAAAAAATCAAATCAAGTTTTTACATATTTGACAAGAAAATAAATTATAAATGGAAGAGAGAGAAGGGAGAGAGAAAAAATAGGAGAGAGATAGAGAGTAGAGTAAATGTATGTATCCCAAATTTGTAATCCAAATTTGCATCCCAAATTAATAAGAATCATTAGATCAGTGGGTCTCATTTAAAAAAGTTGATGGGACCCACTGATCCAATGATTCTCCTTGATTTGAGATTCAAATTTATATTATAAATTTGAGCTACATAGCACTGCTCTAGAAAGTAATAGACAAAGCGATAGAGAGAAAATAGGAGAGAGGATACAGAGAAAATAGAGAGAGAGAGAAATAGTGGAGACAGAGAGAGTGAGAGAGATAGAAAGAAAATATGGGAGAAAGAGTGAGAGAATAATGGAGAGATAGACAATAACAGTGTTATAAACAAGGAGGGAGAGAGAGTAAAAAAAATAAGAATGATGTATAATTTAAAAAATGTTAAGTAAGTAAAACAAATAAAAGATCATTTAAATTTTGTACTTAATCACAAGATATGTTATTAAAGAATAATGGTACATGAACTTAAAAATTAGATTTAAAAATTAGACTTGATAATCTCAAGATAGTGAGTCTCAATAAATAATAGGACTCACAGTAAAATCTATAGTTATAATTATCACGTCTAATTTTTAACTCTATGTAACATTGCTCTTTATTAAAATTGAACTTATTAGAACAAATAATTTATTTATATAATTTCTCTTAAATAAGTCTAAAAATATGTACCCACTAAAAAAAACTCTTTTATCTAATAGATACAACTCGGATAAGGGTTGTGCTTGTCATGCGTTTCTCTCTTAATGGTGTACGTAGAATTAGTAGGCACTTCGAGGCCATGTAGTCATCTCTGGGGAACAGGGGCAGCTTAATGTTTAGAATGGCTTGCACTATTTAGCCACGTGATATTTTATAAAAGAATGAAAAATAATTATTTTTATCAAAAAAAAATTAATGAACCATCGATTTAAAGACTATTTAAATACGAATTAAATATTTTAAATATCAAATTAATAAAATTTATATATTAAAAATTAAACTGACAAAACACAAACACTTAAAAAGATAAAAAAATGTTATCAGCCACGTTCAAGAATGTTGGCTAGGCAAAAAGAGAGAAATCACTATAGAAATAGAACCACATAATTCTACAGCCCACTTGCTGATGTGGGGACAAACAAATCTATCTAGCGATGTGACTAATAAAAGAATCCAACTCCATACGAGTAACTCCGCCGTCCTCCGCAGATTGCCGAATAGAACCACCCAAATCTGCCGCCCTCTTCCTGATCTCGTCTCCTTCGGTTGACGCCATCAATTTTTTAACAGCATTTTCCACCAATAATGACGTCACAATCTCATGTCTACAAGCCCAATCCTTCACCACCAGACCCACTCTCAGCACCTTTGTTATCAGCAGAGCATTGCCTGGTTGGTCTGAATGCATTGGCCAGGTTGCTATTGGCACTCCCATGCTCATACTCTCCATGCATGAATTCCACCCACAATGACTCATGAAACCACCTGTTGAAGGATGCCCCAGAATCTCCAATTGAGGTGCCCAGTCTCTCACCACTATTCCTCTTCCTGCCACTCTCTCGTCGTACCCTTTTGGAAGTTCAGCTTTTCTAGCCTCTCCTTCAAATATATCTCCTTTATCTGCATCTCTCAACACCCAGATGAATTTTTGCCCACTTTGTTCTAACCCGATTGCAAGCTCTTTGATTTGATCATCAGATAATGAAGTAGTGGTTCCAAATGATACAAAAATCACAGATTTTGGAACCTGTTTGTCAAGCCACTCCAAGCATGGGTGGCGGGTACTTGAATTTGTGTTCTTCCATATCTCTACTGGATTAAATGGTCCAATAGCCCATTGCTTCTTAGTTCCAGCAGTTTGGTTCTCTGCAAGTATGTCAAGATATGGATCTTCTATTACTTTGCAGGTGTTGTAAAGAGTTCCAGAGTTGAAATTCTTGTGCTCTTGTTGTGTTTGACTAAATTCAATGAGCTGTGATGTTACACAGCTTTCCATTGATGGAGCCTCTTTTAGTATATCTTGTCCAATTGAGACAGGTCTTCCCAATACCGAGAGGAACAAGCAAGAAGAAAAAGCAGAGACGCTATGGAAACTATAGGACTCCGTGTTCGATATTGAAGGGATGTCTTGGACAAGTGACGCCATTAGAGAGTCATGAATGACGACGACTCTTTTAGTTGTAGTTGAGAGAGCTTGTAGAAGTGTGGCAACAGGATCACGAAGTTTCGATGATGCATAAAGTAATGGCACAATATGCGATGGGAAGGAGACGTTGGGGTCTTGAGGGGGAGAGAGAAAGGAGGGGGATGGCAATTCATGGAAATGGATGTTGTTGACGGAGAGAGGATCCCAACCATGGACACGCAGCTTGGCTTGGCGGGTGTGGGTGGTGGTTCCGACATAGTGGACTGGTATACCATAAGATGAGATGAGACGAGAAAGGTGGAGAAGCTGGTTGAGATGGCCTTGAGCTGGTATCGGCACCATTACCACTGCTATTTGTGTTTCTTTTAGGCTATTTTGGCCATGATTGTGGTGGTGGGGGTTGTGGTGGTCCATCGGAAAGGAATGGGTACTCAATGAGGTTTGATTGTGCTTCAATTTTGTGATTTGGGCTTTATAAGACACTTGCAATGCAAATCGTTGTCAACTTTCTCAAATTAACGTATTTATAATATGTTTGATGATTATAATTAATATTTATAAAAGAACTATAATGAAGTTTCCGTTGTTATTCCAAAATACCAATTTTATTTCACTAATAAACACATCTCGATAATTTAAAATTTAAGATGAAAATTACTTGGGATTATAATTATGTGAAGTTGAGTCTCTTAAGAGATGACCTGATTTAGTAGATATGAGTAGTTTTTAGGTTATTGTGTGTATCCAAAATTCATGTCGTGGCTACTAGTACGACCGATGGTTGAGATAATTATTTATTAGTGCAATATAAAAAAGATTACAATAAAATAGTACTAGGCAAAAACAGAGACAAATCACTATAGAAATAGAACCACATAATTCTACAGCCCACTTGCTGACATGGGGACAAACAAATCTATCTAGTGACGTGAGTAATAAAAGAATCCTACTCCATACGAGTAACTCCGCCGTCCTCCACAGATTGCCGAATAGAACCACCCAAATCTGCCGCCCTCTTCCTGATCTCGTCTCCTTCGGTTGACACCATCAATTTTTTAACAGTATTTTCCACCGTTAATGACATCACAATCTCATGTCTGCAAGCCCAATCCTTAACCGCCGGACCCACTTTAAGCACCTTTGTTATCAGCAGAGCATTGGCTGGTTGGTCTGAATGCATTGGCCAGGTTGCTATTGGCACTCCCATGCTCATACTCTCCATGCATGAATTCCATCCACAATGACTCATGAAACCACCTGTTGAAGGATGCCCCAGAATCTCCAATTGTGGTGCTCAGTCTCTCACCATTATTCCTCTTCCTGCCACTCTCTCTTCGTACCCTTTTGGCAGTTCAGCTTTTCTAACCTCTCCTGCAAATATATCTCCTTTATCTGCATCTCTCAACACCCAGATGAAGTTTTGCTCGCTTTGTTCTAATCCAATTGCAAGCTCTTTGATTTGTTCGTCAGACAATGAAGTGGTGGTTCCAAAAGATACAAAAATCACAGATTTTGGAACCTGTTTGTCAAGCCACTCCAAGCATGAATGACGCCTATTTGAACCTTCGTCCTTCGATATTTCAACCGGATGGAAAGGCCCAATAGTCCATTGCTTCTTAGTTCCATTAATCTGGTCCTCTGCTAGCATATCAAGGTACGGATCTTCTATTGATTTGCATGTGTTGTAAAGAGATCCAGAGTTGAAGCTCCCGTGCTGTTGTTGTGTTTGTATAAATTCCATAAACTCCGATGTCACACAACTTTTGATAGGTGGAGCCTTTTTTAATATTTCCGGTTCAATTGGGATAGGTTTTCCTGTTTCCCATGGAACAAGGAGATGAAAAAAGCTGATACGCTTTCAGAACTGTAAGACTCGGCGTTCGGTGTTGAAGGGACGTCTTGCACGACCGAAGCCATTAGAGAGTCATGAATGACGAGGACTCTTTTACTTGCAGTTGATAGTGAGCGTAGGAGTGCACCAACAGGCTCGCGAAGCCTCAATAATGCATAAAATAATGGCATAATATGTGATGGGAAGGAGACATTAGGGTTAGGAGGGGGAGAGAGAAAGGAAGGGGTTGGAAATTCATGGAAATGGATGTTTGTGGCGGCGAGTGGATCCCATCCGTGGATGCGCAGGTTGGCTTGGCGGCTGTGGGAGGTGGTTCCGACGTAGTGGACGGGAATACCATAGGATGAGATGAGACGGGAAAGACGGAGAAGCTGATTGAGGTGGCCTTGAGCTGGTAGTGGCACCATAAGCACAACTATTTGGTGGCCTTCTCTTCGGTCATTCTGGCCATTGTTATGGTTGTGGTGGTGGTGGTTTTCCATTGAAAAGGTTTAAAGTACTCAATGAGGTTGGGGTATGTTTCCAATATGAGGTTTACGTTTTATAAGCAAGACCTTGTATTCTTTGGGGGAGTTGTCTCTGGTATTGAAAATCTTTTTTAGTACCATACATTTATTTATCGTAGTTGTAGAAACTTTTATTATTGTATATAATAAAAATAATCTTATAGTAATAAAAATATTTATAATAGTGATAAAAATACTTACAAATATGATAAATCACTCATAAAAGTAAAAATTTTTTGTATTAAAAAAATAGTAAAAATAATTATCATAACAATGAGAAAAATATCCACAACAATAGTAAAAATATTTATAAAAGTGTGAAATTTTTTAATAATTAAATGACCCACAAAAACTAGAAAACACTTATTAAAGTAATAAAAGTTAAAAACATGATACCAAAATTTTTTTTTCCGTATTATAGTCAATTCGTTCTTTGGGAGCAATTTGATGGCTATTTCCATGCTAAATGGTTGTCGACCTTTTTTCATCGTTGACATTAAATAATAATATATTAGTATCTCATCGCGTTCTATATAAAGTCAAGCCGTGGTTTATGGAGTACCCTTTCAAGTTTCTAGTAAAAAAATGATCTAATTGAATTGATATACCTGTTTTACAAATAATTGTGTACACGCCAAATTTAAATTATAGTCACTAATTCAATCAACTGCGTGATTGAGACCATTTTTTATTGACAAATTAATCAAAATTACAAAAGAGCAGTAGCTCTTTTGTGTGAGCACTGGAGGGGTGGGGGGAGATTGGGGGATTGTAATGGATGACATTAGAGAATAGAGGCTTCTTAGGAAACTGACGATCTTGACCTTATCTAAATTCCAAAAACAATTAAAAACGTTGTCCGACAACAATGGGTAGTGTATTTAACTTGACCAATTGTGGAACTATGTGCGAACAGAAAGTGACATAAAAAGATTCCGTTTGAGTTTCGTTTGGTCAAGGATTAGATTATTCCATTTGATTATTTCCGATTCATTGACCGTTGAAATTTATTTAGATTCAATTCTAAAATTGAATTTTGTTGGCCCAAAATTTAGAATTATTAATGTACCATGTGGTACTATTTTTTCAAATTACTTCTGTTACTCTTTTTGCTCGTTTTAAATTTTTTTTTTTAAATAGCGTTTGCTTTTATATTAATATTTTTAAAATTTGTGATTTTTTTTTTCCAAACTTACTCGATTCTTGCAACCTTAATCACACATTGGGATGTGATAGCAGCCGGAATATCGAGAGAAAATAATTTTTTTATAAGCAGGTTGTAAACTAATTATTTACGGACAATCACTCAAAATTTGATAATTACATATTTGTGTATCTGTTAAATTTTAATTCACTGCCGCTAAACAATTGGTTTACAAGCTGCCCGTAGAAAATCTATTCTCCTATCTAAAATGTTGATGGTTAGATCAATGAGATTTATTTATTTGGTTTGGAACTATTGATCTAACCTTTAACTTTTATTTAGTAAATTTTTTGGTCAACTTTTTTAATAAATACATCACTTTCTAGGTCGCATTTGGTTTATATGTTTTTATAAACACCAATGTTACTTGGACAAAATTTATTAACTTAATTATTTGAGAAAATTTCATCCACACCCCCATTAGTTAGATCTAAATTTAATAACACTCCCTCTGAATTCTGAAACTTCACTACACCTTCTTCTGATTTATACTTTCAAATTAAAGAAATTCCTTTTAATGACAATTTTTAACTCTGCCAACACAAAAAGTAAGGGTTTGATTATAAATTTTTTGTAAAAAGTCAAAACTATCTTTCCTTATATAAATATACTAAAATGCCTTCAACCATTTTCCCACTATATATATCATGCCCTTTGTTGTTGCTAAAAGTAAAAAATGATCTGATTTTGCTGCAAGACATAGGAAATTAAAGCTAGCTATTCTTCTCTTAAGTCGTTCTCCACAGTGATCGAGCACTACCTAAGTTGATAAATTAATTTTTTCAAGCAGATATTTTTAATTTTTTTCTTTTAGAGATTTTTAAATTTTTCATGCAAATGTTTTTTTAAAATTTTGTTCGTGCACATTTTTTAATTTTTTTTCTTCTATTTTGTTATGTCAATATGTTGTGATGTATTATTATAGAATTGATCTCTTCTTCAAAAGTTTGGTGGAGGCAGAGACATAGGGGAGGAGTAGTTTCACATAACGTCGAATAACATGACAACATATTATTTGAAGTCTTTATTGGGGTTCAAATGATATGACACCAAATAAAAAAGTACAAGTCAACTGTCATGTCATTTGAGCTTTTAATTTGATCAACGTAGCATTAATGTTAAAATTAATGCCTTTAGTTTTGTTTTCTACAACTGACAGCGGGATTAAAATTTCACAGTCCATTCGTCTTACCTCTTCTTAATTCTCATTTTTCATGAACCCATTTACCAAGAAGATGAAACGGATCATGGGAAAAAGGAGTGGTCAGGTGTAGCGGCTTCAAGGAAAAGAATGGCAAGGGTCGACGCAGATAAGTAAATTGACAACTGCTTGCTTGCTGCAGTCAAATGGTCAGAGATTTGTTGGGGGTGGGTTCTAACAGGTGTTGCGCGGTTTCGCTGGTATAACCGTGCAGCCAATTCTGATGCATGAGGAAACAATCCAAAAAATTAGAGGTACAAACAGAATTTGCCTCAGCTTTACCGGTTGCTTACTAGGGACGCCTAGATGTTCACTTACATGAGGTTGGGACTTGGGAGATAGCAAGTAGTTGAAGTAAGTTATAATTTGTATAAAAATACATTTTTATGTGACCTTTATATAGACTAATAAATAATCTTTTTTTGTTGTAGGTGGCTGATGACTCTCCAAGGAGACTATGATCTTTGTTGTATGCTCCTTTGATTTGAAGCAAGCTTTTGAGACTGCCGAAATAATAGAAAGCAAGTGGTTTGTTTACCAACACTACTTTAGAAAAGGCGATTCATTTTAGAATTCGTACAATCCACCAACTTATTTTCAATTGGATTCCGAATTTTCATTTTCGATTTCAATCCAATTCATGAGTGGTCTTCCATGAGTTTGTCTTAGCTTTCTACCTTTTGCTCATCTCAAGCATTGTTGAGGTAATGTAATCTTTGTTGAGGGGAAGGGTCACACTTCTAGAGCATTTTGTTATTTTCACTTAGGGATTAGTAGTATCAAATCATTGCTCTAATCATAAACTAAAATTTCTATATGCAGGTGGGAGTTACTTCAAGTACTATTTGTTGTTTCTAATTTATATTTGCTGCCTTATGTTAATCTTTTGATATTCTGGTTTGTTTGGATGCTTTTGCTTGAAATGTGTTTTTATTTCATTTAGGGTTTGAGCTGAGTGTATGATAATTATCTGTTTATCCTAATCCATATAGGGCTATGGCTAATTAATGACATGGGTGATTTGGTAAAGTTAAGTCATTCTAGTGGGAATAAGAAAATGGGTTAGCATAAAATTAAACTAGAAAATCAAGATTCGACCAAGAGATTTCTCTAATCAATTTTCTATGAACTTAGTGCATTAGTTTTTTCTAAGAAATGGCAAGCGACACTTATAAAGATAATAATAACTATTGAACCTTTCTTGTTACTTTCCAAATTAAAGATACCAATTGAACAATCTTAAACAAAGTGACGTCTATTCCATTGACCGAAAATCTTATAAATCACATTTAAGTATTAGCGATAAGTTTACTTCATTTGTTGTTCTCCTCCTATAATTGATGCCCTTACAAGCTTTTTTTTGTAGTTATATCACCTTAATAGTTTCTTGCAGAGATTTCTAACTATGGTCTACAAATCAATGTTGCAGAATTTCACTTACCAAAGAAAAATATGTTGAAGTACCCACAAATTTTCCTTTTTGTGGGTATGTCTTTATACATTATAAGTCGAATTCTTCACTTACAAGCATTTAGGGGATACATTTTTGCTTTAAAAATGCAAGGAAAAGATCACCTTTAATTATTCCTCATATGTAGATTTTCACTTAGTAAGCTTGTAAATTTATATAAGAATTTCCATATCTTTGTTGAGTATGGGGGTCTTAATGTTCGATATTGACCTTTATATTAAACACCTTGAGTAATTTTCCAATTATACTTACAAACTATGACGAATATTGATTTATGTTATGGAAAGCTAAAAATGTGAAGCAACATCAATGACTTTGGCATTGGGTTTTTTTTCCTTGTGTCTGTGTGATTATTGATAGGATCTTTGTTAAAAGGCCTTGCTAATTTCTATATGCATTCATGTCAATCACAACCCTATGTTGTATTCTGCAACTATGACATATTTGATTTGTAGAATTTTGCACATTTGAATTTTTTTATTTGTGTGATCTTGACATATTGGAACTGCTTATGTAGTCTCTTTCATACTTTGATAAATATGTGAATTTCATGAAATTCGTCTGTATCACCAAGACACACAACCATATGTACATCAGGAGTGGATACGTTACCATATTCAATTGACTATGAATTGGTTTGTACAACATATTTCCATTTCATTTGGCAATTACATTTTTACCATTATTTTTACAATCTATTTAGTTCAACAAGTTTACTGTCTCTTCCCCTTTCTTTCTTCTTCTCTCACTTTTCTTGAAAGATAGTGGGACATAATTAGACGACATTGTTTGAAAAAATATTGGTTTGAAATTTTTGCACTCGTTTTTTTCCCATGTCATATGTGTATGCATGTGTATTTATTCTGGGTTTGGTTGGAGGTGTAAACCATATCTACACATTTGCTTATGTTGTGAACATATCATATGACATTTATTTTCTATTATTTCTGATGTTATCTTTATTGTTCATTTTACTTTCTCATTTGAAGCCAGATACCATGGGTTTGGAAAATTCTTTTTTATATCCTACCAATGTGCGATTGATTTAAGGAGGACCAGAGTGGTGTAGTATGTTGAGGAATTTCATAATCAGTTTTCTCTTTTATTGAGTGCACGTCAAACGTAGATCATACAATGAATATCAATGTTTATTAAAGTTGTGAATTATTATTATCATTATTTTAGTTGTGAATTTTGGGAAATGTTGTCTATGACATTAGTATACAAATTTCATACCCAAAATGGTTCACGTGCAACACACGTGTGCATTGACTAGTAAATAAAAACATTATAATATGGTTCACTGTTTTATTTTTCGTTTAGACGTCCGTCTATTCTGAGTCAAATCAATAAATTAGGAATCATAAAACAGACAGACTTTCAAATGAAAATAAGATGATTAATCACATTATAATATTTTTATTTTTTTGAGAAAAAAATGATAGAAAATTAAGCATTTAGACAAATTTAAATTTTTTTATCTTTTAAGGGGCAAAGTGAGATTTGTCACAGTTATTATTACCAATTTTAGAAACCATGTTTTTTGTATTTCTTTTTTAGTGTTAATTTATTTTGGTTGATTTGTTGGCATTAAGTAAATACCTAATTTGCCTATCCTCGCGTACTCTCCCATTCTTTTTTTTCCCCTTTCTTTTTCTTTTCCCTCACACGATCACACAAAAGTGATCAAAAACACCAAAAGACAAAAATGATCATAGGAAATGGGTCAGAAAGACAACAGGAAATAAATAGAATTCTTAAAAACTAAATGACCAATAGACATCAAAATTATTGAATTTTATGTTTTTGTGTTGCCCTTTATATCTAACAAAAAATTAAACTCTACCAACAGTTCCATGATCATTGTTCATTGTAAATCTAAATTGATGGAAAACCTCATTTTCTTGCAAATTATAAAGAATCTCCATAATCTTAGTTTGTAGGCAAAGACTTATTATCATCCCAACGTCAAAAGACCTTCAATCCAGTAGTATACTTCTAGGTGTCAAGTCTTTGAATTCAGATTGCAGTTAAAAATTCGTCAACTAGTTAACGTATTATATCACTTAGAAAAACGGTGACAAAAATTGTTACAAATCAACTCTACTTTCTTAAATTGGTCCCACTTCGCTTCATAGAGACGGTGAAAAAGGTGTTTTTTTTATTCGACTAATCTAATCTTAACCAAAATTTTTATAAAGGTAGTCGTCGAGAGCTATGTATTCTATATTTTAAAGATAAAGCATGTTTGGCACTTTCCTTTGCATATAACTCCCCCATCCATATAGAATTTAACTACATCAATCAAATCTAATTTATTTCATATGGGATTTTTCACAATCTTTTCAGTCCCATTTATCAGCTTGAATTATTTTCTGAATTCGTTACTTGAATCTTGCGTTATATTCAATGAATTTATGACTGTTTGTCTGTACTTCACCTAACTGTATATTATATGTGTTCTTATGTGTATATTAGTTGTTATGTATTTTAAATGACATTAGAGGGTAACTTGTTATTTTGTTTGTTGTGTGAATGACATGAGAGGGTATCTTGTTATTTTGTATTTTGTGTGATACCATATTAAATGTAGTAGAAACAGAAGCAGGATTTTTTCTGTAATGCGACGATGACTCGATGGTGTTAGAAAAATACAAAAGTGATTGTTGAAGTATTAATCAACACATGGATTGAGGAAAATGTTTTTCCTTCTATAATTTGAATCAGTATTGTATAAACTCTATTGATTCTGTCTACTTTAATAACATGTTTAAACGTTGTAGTTCGAGATTAAGTGAAATCTCAATCGCATCACCTTTTCTGAATCATGATTAGGCTAATTAGTTGCAATTCTACGCCTGACATAAGAACCTGTTACAGTTACACTAAATTGATTTATGTATGCTTGTTCGATTGAAGAAAACTCAATTGATATATGGCCGATTAGTGATTTACTTCCTTTTTTATTTTCTTTTCAGGTTGAGCCTTGTTACAGCTACAAAGGTATGTTATTTAGTTGTTGATTATCATACGCAAAATTAGCATACACTAAAGTAATGTTTATGAATTGCAGGCATCTACTCATTGCTAACTTTCTTAACACTAATATCACAGTTTCCTTTAATTTGGTTCATTTTTTTTCATCTACTTTCCAATCAGCTCATCCACCCCAAATCATCTTTTGTCTTTGAGAAAAGAAATATTGAAAACAATGACTGCTTTCTCCTTTCCTTTTTCTTACCTTTTTTTTTTTTTGATTATTATGCAAGGATACATTTTTACTACTAATAAAAGTACCTTAAGATGAAAAATTTTTGAATCTCTATTTTACCTTTATGGAAGATTGTAAATATCACTCTATCTATTCACAACTAAATATCTTAATTATTATCATATACATATGTATTTAAATCTCCAAATTATTTATAACATCTTTTTTAATTATCTATTCTCTTTGTATAAATATTTGTTTCTATAAAAAAATTTCGTTGACTATATTACTCTTAAAAAAATATACATCATTAGATTTTTCTATAAAGTGTTCAAAAAATCTTCAAAAATTTCATCAATCTAATATTACTCATCTTATATACAAAGATAACATTATGCCTACATATGCGTATTTTTTTTCATCTAAAAGCTTAATCATTTTATTTCTAAGATAAAAAATAATCGACTATATAATTTTTTTTTAAATCAATTTACGTTACATCAGTATAATTATTCAATCACAATAAAATTTTTAAGTTGTACTATGATCTTATGTAAAAATAGATATTGTAATGTATTTTTAAGTAAAATTTTATTTTTTTAGAATTTTAATATGTTTGATAATATATATTATATTATAGAGTAATATATTAAATTTTATCCCAATTGACTTAACTAATTTTTAATTACAATAAGGTTTAAGGAATTATAAGTGGAATCTTAATCAAATGAATTTCAAGAAATTTAATTTCTCAAACATCACTAAAAAAATCAACCTCAATCATAAATTTTTAAACAATAGAACTATAATTTTTTTTTTTTTTATAGTTAGAACAAATAATTTTGGGAATATACAAATTTTTCATAATCTTATAATAGAATATGAGTAATAAAAAATTAAGTTTTGTGAATTTGAAATAATATTTAATTCAAACACATAAATTTAATATATTTTATTAATTTTTATGTACAAAAATTATTCGTGTCGCACGTCGTGCATTACTAGGATATATAAAAGGAAACAAACTGGGGGTAGGTAGTTCCTAATGTAATGTGTATCATATGTTATGGACTTAATTGGCCCATGGACCCATATGATACTCCTTTCCTAATAGACGATCAGAAATGTACCAGAGGAAGAAATCTGGATTGTTTAGTGGCTGCTTGCATTTACATTGCTTGTCGACAAGAAGGCAAGCCACGCACTGTTAAAGGTGCCTCCTAATCTTTTACACAAATGAATATTTCCTGGTTTATTTTCTTTTCCTCTGTATGAGCTCTCTGAACCAGTGGACACCAATTAGAAATTTGCTCTGTTGCCAATGGAGCCACAAAGAAGGAAATAGGCCGAGCAAAAGAATTCATTGTTAAACAATTGAAGGTTGAAATGGGTCAATGTATGGAGACAGGGTAATTTGGTTTTCTTTTATGTTGTATATATTCTAAATTTCATTGCTTCGTTGCCTTCAAGGATTTTCGTTATTTCAGTTAGTTTGAGTAAAACAGTAAGAATTGAAAACCATACCTTCCCATCCTGCTGGATCCCTTTACCCTAATACTAGACAGCAGTATGACATTCATGTTTATGCTGACACCGTCCAAGAATTCATCATGTTCCATTTCTTCCATGTTTTACCTTATTTGCAACTATTAGAAACTAGGATGTTACATGAGCAAGAAAGGCCTATAATTCTGCTCTTGACCCTTTTGAAGCCTCTCAGATATAATTTTGTCACCATGTATATATCTGTTGGCTCTTTTTCTTTCTGCATTACCTGTTGACATAAATAGCTATAGATGTTGTTTCTTTCGCAATAACTCTAGGTGCTGTAATACTTTGTATATGTACTTGATGAAGACATTATCTATGTAGATATATCAATAGCTTCTACAGTTGCCGAAGTGACAGTGAAGAATGCTTATAAGGATCTTTGTCCCCATGCTTCAAGGATAATTCCAGAAAGGTATGCCAAGGAAAAGGACCTCGAGAACCTCTGCTATCCTAAAACCTAAACGAAAAACAATGTCTATGCTTGGGTCGTAGGCTTTCTGATTTGGGGATTTATATTCTTGTAGGAGTGGACATAGAGTCGATAAATAGCTCTTCATTTCCCTTATTTTCTCCGTGTAGTTAGTTACAGTTGATGCATAGAGTCGGTTTTCGACTTTAATTAACCTGTTGATGTCTTTGATTTATGTCATTTATAATATAAAATAAAACAGACTTTAATAAGTTTATCTGACAATTTCAAATAGATTCGTCCAACGTCTACCAAAATTTCTGTCAAAATTATTCACATTACACCGTGGCTTCAGACATGGGTTGCCTTTAACGTATATACAAAAGTAAGTTTTTCATTTTTATGTCTACATTTTGTTATTGCCTTGGTCCAAATGCTCAGGCTTGTTCATTGATTTTGCTTGCTTACTCCTCTTTTTGAAAATGCATACAGAAGAATGACATACCAAATTTAGATTAGGATTTGAGTAATCGGTCAAAAAATCAATCTATCCGACTAATGGTTCAGATTAGAATCTGGCCCTGTGTCAAACAAATAGTAACAATATAAAATTAAAGTTTGGACATGAATTTTTCAACACTCTAATTATCCAACATCTCTCGATTTAGATAAGTTAAATTTAAATTTTACTAATAGTGATTAATTTCAATCGTCCACAATCAAAATTAAAATTCATAAAAATTTATTTGTCAATTTTATGATTTAATAAATTAATAATAAGAAATTGCAGTTGAACAAAATTAATAAAATTTGAAATTTCCTGGCTCCATACGGAAGTCACCATAACCCATGCACCCAAACACCCTCCCCTGTCCTTCTAAGCAACACCTAAGCACAGACCATGAAACCCCACCACTTTCTTATCACCTCTCCTCTGTATATAATTACCTTATATTATTCTCAATATATAATTATTAGTCATAATTTATGTCTGAAAGTACAATAAAATATAAAATTCGAACATTCAAAAAATTGATCTTATTATACCAAATAACAAATTTTTATTTCTTCGTTTCTTTAATTATATCATTTAAAGTTAATTTATTCCTTTTTTTTTAAAAAAAATAGCTTCAAATTTTTCTCAAAATGTAAAGCCTGACAAAATTTTTTTCAACACGGACAATGTATGAAATAAAAATTGTATTAAATTATAAATTAATTAAATATTAAATAATTGAACATATGATATAATTAAATGATGTAATATTTTTGAAGAGTAAAATGTATAGGGTTAAAAATTAAACTTACTATTACTAGCTAACTTATTATATAGATATATACCACTAGCTTTGACAACCGACCATCTCATTTTCGTCTACCATCAAACCGATAGAAGAAGGAAAGAAACCTCAAGAAAAGAGGATGATTACGTAGCGGGGGATAAGATTCCCTCTATTATATATATATATATATATATATATATATATATAGATATTAGTAATAACTTGTGTCTAAAAGTACTTTACAAGTTAAAAAAATTCATCCATTTGAAATAATTTTTCATTTATTTGCTTTAATTAAAAAAATTAAAATCAATCTAGCCCTCGTTATTTTTTCAAACTATTTCAGCAGAATTTCTTCTAAAAATAGGAGCTTAAAATTTGCAATCTGTCTACAAACCATTATATAACAAATTTCAAAGAATAAATTACTCTAACTAACTCAAAGACATCATCATATTTTAGTCATTACATAATCCAAACCAAAATAACATTTTATATCATAATAACAAAGGTCACTGACTCATGTTATACACGCAGGTTCAACCAAAGATCCAAAAAATTCACAGTTCACAATCATAGATCATTATAGTTCGCAATCACAATTCAATTCTATTTCCCCCAATATCACGATCACAATTCAATTCTATCTTCAAAATTCATTCTCATTCCAATATCAGCCCCTCCAAACAATTAAGCAAAGACACTGAAACACAATAAAAACCAAAAACCAAAACAGAACCGGTAACATAAAGTCAATTGCTCTCATGCAAACAAGGAGAACAAAACTAGTGGCTCATGGTTTATTCAGCAAAACCAAGGCCTAAACCTGAAGTAATGCATGGTATGCACAATATGTCTCCTAATCTCTTTTCGTAATCGCCTTCCACCCCCAGGGCCCCAAAAAAACTGCATAATTTCAAATCCAAATACAGACAAATAGACCCAAATCAAACTCCAAAGAATCTGAGCATAAATTTAAATTTAAATCGTATCATATTTCCTATCAAATCCAATCCATTAAAAATAGATCATAAATGAAAATCTCCTAAAAAAAGTAGTAGATGTGTATTCATACATTTCAGAAAACTATTAAACCTTTGTGGGTTAAAAAGGTCAAATGAATTTCGGTTTCAATAAATTAATGCTCAATTACCATCAAAAGAAGAAATAAAGAATTAAAGATATACCACGACTTCTGGACTTCATCATTTGTCCTCTCTTCTTGCTCCCCACACCATAAATTATAGGGGTTTGAGAAACTTTTTTTCTTCACACAGAAAGAGAAACTAACTAAACTAAAAAACTTTAGAAAAATTACAAAAGAAAAAATAATAATTGTGTACAAACAATAAAAAATAAAAGAAAACTCATTTGCTACTCAATTTTCCATCAAATATGCCATCTTGAAATGGATACAAAACCTTCAAGAACTTCGATACATAGCTAAATTTGTTGAAAGCTTTAAACAACAAAGAAGGAAGGAAAACCAACCTTAGAAAGCCCTTCATGGTAATTTAAAGATTCAGAACAAGAAAATTAAGTTAAAGAGCCATCAATCCACCAAAAAATACACCAAAAGATAATTCTATTCATTTAAAAAGTCCCAACTGACATGAAAACTGAAATAACTAAAGTAGCAATGCATCATCCTCAGTCCTCACTGGACTATAGGTTGTATCTACCAATAATAGAGTAGACAATGGTTGTAAACAACTCACGCCATCGGCCTTAAATACGCATCATTAGAAACACATTCATATAAAAGAATAGGAGATATCATATCAACAATCTCAAGTCTTATAGAACAACATCCCACAAACAAACTAAAAATCCAATATTCAGAAGCAAATGCATATATAAAAAAGAATATAAAGGCATTGTAAATGGAAAAATTAATCTAGAGATTAACTAAATGAGATGCAGCATGTGTAGCAGGGCAACCTTCAGTAGTCGTCATTGATCAATGCTTCGACCACCTACACAAATTAACATTCTCATTTAGAGTATCCAATGTCCATCAAATCATGCTCAACACATCCATAGAAGAAAAAACAAAGGAACAAAGAAATTTAAAGGCCAAAAGACTAAGAAATTTTCCAAAATTCGTACATAGGGACTCTGTTTGTGTGATTGGGTGGGTAACATAATTTCTCTAAAAATAAGACTCCATAAAAATCAACATGTAGATTAGTATTTAAAAGAAAACATAGATGAAACCAATTTGCCGACTTACTATCACACCCAATCCTCCCTTAATGTACCAATTTATCAACTACCGCAACTCCAAAATAGTAGCAAACATAAATGTCCTTAATTTAATCTACTCCAAAAATTTTAACATCATCAAACACCACTACATTCCAATTAACAAACGATGAGCCAAAGTAGATGTAGCTAGAAAAGAAGGGTAGGAGTGGCAAATCCCAAACTTTTCTCCTCCATTTTACCATGAAAGTAGTAGTCACAAAAGGCCAACACATACACATACTGACAGAATTTTAAAATCCAAGGAACATAATCCAATGAATGTCATAAGAGTAATTGTCAAAATCAAATAAAAACCTATCGAAGATGGGAATAAATTCAACCCACTAAACAGGTATATAGTAAATTCATATCAGTCAAACAAAAAATCAATGGTAGAGTACTCAAAAAGAGGGGATACATGGATTTGGCCATCGTCAGTGGTGGGTCACCATTGGTTGAGAAGAAAGGTAGGAGAGAGACAAAAAAGAGAGAAAATAAAGGGTTGATTGGTGGGGGAGAGAGAAAATAGTGGAGAGAGAGAAAGAAGGGTTGGTTGTTAAGTAGTGTGCCTGACAAAGGGTATGGGGGATTCTTAACATACATAAGTTCAAAATCCATCTATCAACTCCCAGGAATCCAAGCTTAAATTCTACCTACCAACCCAAATAAAGTCATATTTTTAACCCAAATAATAACTATGGTCAACCTATTTGACCTATTTGATTCATGTAAATTCACATTTTTAATCCAAATCATCCATTTGTCCTTTATCCACATCCATTAAAACTATTGTATGCAAAATAAAATATAGTTTCAAATTCATCCCACCCAACATATTTAAAAAGTTAAAAAAAAAAATCACATTCCATAATCCTAAGTATCTTTATTAATTCATAATCACAACCAACCAACAAATCGCAACCATGTAAATTAGCTAGCTCATCTTACCTCATTCTAGAGTTGTCAAATGCAAATTGGCAAAGTTAGAGAGGAATAAACAAAAAAACTTTGTGCAAAGAAAAAAAAGAAAGAGAAAACAACACAAACCTTCATTTTTTTTTCCCAAGAATCACCTCTTGAGCCTCTAACCAACAGAGAAGATCATGTGTATGGCCCTTCCAAATCTGCCAAGTAACAAACGATGAAGACGATACCAAATTAGCAACTGTGCAAAAAGCATGCTCACATTACCCCCAATATATCCACATCCATAAATACGAAGATAGCAAAAATTTACGTTTCTATTGAAAAAAAACCGACTTCAAACGCGAAAATTTACCCAATTTTGGAACACACATTTATACTAAAATTTTTAGGTTCACGAAGTATAATTTTGATTGTTTTTCACAAACTCTATCCAAAAAGTAAAATGTAAAACAGAAAAGAAAAGAAAAAAAAACCTATTAATAAAAGTTTTTTTGTCAAAGGGAATTGATTTATCTGTGGTTTGCGGTGGCGATTATGGGCCGACTCCAAATCCAAACATATTGTTTGTCCCTGGAATAGAATACAATTACACGATAAATTTAAATAAATGTTTCCAAATGATCAAGAAAATTAATAAAATTTGGAAATTAAAGACAAACACCTTATTATCCAGACTCAAAAGGCATTAAGGCCACCAATTACACTACTTGAAGTGGCAACGCAATTGACAATTGATGTTGAAACTGGGTAAAATAAATAATAAGAAGATCAAGAAACAGATAAAGTTTTAAAGATATAATGATCAACAACAGTAGTTCTACTAAGCATAACAACCAATGGGTGGTGGGCATATCAACAAATGATGTAATTATGAGCCAAAAAAAAAACACTCTTAAACAAATTAAGTTCAATAACACCCAAATCCAAATAGAAACAAATAGAAACAGAGATGACACACACCCACTGATGGTGGAGAGAGAGACATAGATAGAGACTAGGGAGAAGTAGAAAGATACCTAACTTTCAATCAAAAATTTGAAAATAATCCTTTCATACATTGTTTACCTAAACATTCAATCGCAAACCAAATTTTCAATCCACAATTTCAAAATAATGAAGTTAATTCCCATTTCATACAATCAAGAGATCCAATGTCATAAAAAAATTAAATAAAAACCCAATCGCAATCACAATCAAAATAAACCTAACATGAAACTTTGAAACCATAACATTCAATCAAAATACCACCAATAACTCATAACAGTCATTGAAATTATGTAAGTAAAATCCAATGTAGCAAAAATAGACAATATTAAGCATACAAATCCAGCTAAAGACGCCCAAGTGGAAGAGATCAGCATGGCTCGTGCATAGGGCTTGAGATAACCCATCTTGTACATTGCCTTTTCGAGTACGAATTCCATCTTCAACGCCTTGGCCATTAGGCTGGAATACAGGAAGAGACTGAATGCTGCAACTTCAAACAAAACTAGCATCCTCAGCAGGTCAATGTCGGCATTGCACTCCTCTCGGCCATCCAGACTCCTTTGGCCTGGCGCCGTGAAAGAGAATCCTATGAAGACAGCTACCGAGAACAGTGAGTTCACATTCACAATATCATCCAGTGCTTTCTCGTAGCCGGAAGACTCCGAACATTTTTGAAAGCTCGTAGAGCGGTTGATGGTCATTCCTCCCCCTCCTCAGTGCTGCATGAAATTAAGAACAAACAGCAATAGTTAGGAGAAGTATGCGGGAAAAAAAGTAGCATACAGTTACAATTTCGTGATATGAACTCGTTAGTCGTTAATAAAGAAGTCAATCAAACTGAGAGAGAGAGAGACTAGGATAGATTTGATTGATTTTCTCCATTTGATCTCTCCATTATAGTGCTTGCTGTAACTTGTTTCTGCCCAATGTCTATGCAATGGGTTGTGAATTGTGAAGGCTGAATGCTCTGGTATTTAAACAAGTCCAACAAGAATTATGATCGGATTATTTGTCTAAGACAAGCCATATGGCCCTTCTGTCAGTCTGACTTAAGTCTTTTTTTTTTATATTATTTGTTTTCCTGCGGAATCTGAATGCATGTGTGTGCAATAAAGGGGACTAATCAACTTCCACATGGAGCAAAATGACTAAGGTCAATGTAGAACACAATGGACTCAATAAATTTCTACCACCAAGTGAAATGCTGTCCATCAAAATGTTTACCAAATCTAAGACCCGGAATAAGGTCACACATTGTTAGTCATTGGATGCATAACAAAAATTTGTAAGCCTTATTGATCTTATTATTCACATTGATTTGGATCTAAAATTCAGTAAAAATTTTGGTAAATGTCGTAGTGTTGCTACCGCTAAACCAACTCTCAAAATTTGAAAAGATTTTATTTTGCATGTGATGAGTATGTTTTAAGTTTGAGTCCAGAAAAGTGTCTTTGGATATAGAGATAAGAATATGTACATCAAATTTTCTAGACCCTCCAGTGGTAAGAGACTGTGTTAGACAATAATTTATACGAGTAGTTTTGTGGTGAGTCTAATTTGTATCCTCATTCATCATACTATTATCAGAAACCTGAAATATGTGAATACATGCTGTCCATGCAAGAAATCTACTTTTTAGGCGAAATTTTTATCAAATAATCAAAAAACTAGAGAGAGGAGAAAGCTATTTCTACTTTCATTCACTTAATCAAAATGGTTAGATCCCAGAAACAAGAAAGAAAGAAAACCCAACAAAAAAATAAAAATAAAAATGGTTATACTACATGGATTTGGAACCACGGACAATTAATTATTTATATATTATTCCTTTAGCATTTTTAAAATGCACTCCGCACCACGTAGCCACATTATGGTTAAACATAATTCACATAACCAAGCTTAAATTGTCAAAAAAAAACTATGTAAGTAGCAGCAATTCAAGACTGTTAAATGCAATCACTTATCAACCAGCACGTTTTTTTAGGTGTAGAGTTAACTCTTGGAAGAACTGTAAATTTAAAAGTATTACGTTCGATTCTCGCTTGTGACTCCTACGTTTAATTGTTATGTATAGTTAGGGGGGATTCAAGGTTCCAGTGTTTACTTACCTGAATTTGGTCTAATGTGGGTCTGCCCATTATAGAAATAAGAGAGAGAGACTGAGAGAGAGAGTAATGTGAAGTGGGTTTCATTGGAAGCACAGAAACCGAAAGCTCTGCTCCGTTTGCTGCAACCATGAACTAATCCATGTGTTGTGTCTGTGTTTGCATGTGCTTTAATATAATGTGAACAAATCATTATATTAAGGTATCAAGTCATTGTATTACTTTCCAATAACATTGTCTGTCAAATTATTCTACGACTTTTTATTCTAGTAATCTGAATGGGTTTGTCCATGGTTGTTGAGAATATATTATAAAGCCAACTCTTCAAACTAACTATCCATTGACTCAATAAATTATATAGTGCGTGCTACGAAAGTCATTCTCTAGTTGTATTTGTGCGGATATAAGAATGACTTCAGACTTCATCCAAACTATAGTACCAATTGCGATTCTTTTGCACACATTGTCCATGGGTTTGACTTAGATACCAAGAAGGCATGATAAAAAAAAAATATTATTATCTTTTCACTTTCAAATTCAATTTTTTGTGATGAAGTTACGAGAAAAAAAATTTAAAATCAATTCCAAAATTTTGAAGTTTTCCTAAAGAAAATATAATTTTTTGAGAATAAATTACAGCCTTAATTTTTTTGATTTATTTATAACACTTTAAGGTTTTGGGGGTCGATTACAAATTTAAAATTGATTTTAAACCCAAATGTTGATAAATAACACTCCCAAAAATTTGAATTTTACGATATAGTACTAAACTATATTTCGATGTTGTAGCTACTATTGTTTAACAGGACAATAAATTTTGTCCAATATTTTTTATCCAATTTCATTTTATAATAAACATGTTTAGTTTAACAAGTATCCCAACTTAATAGAGGTTGATAAATTTGGTATTATTATTATGAATGGTCGAGAAAATAGGGAAAAAGATATTAAAATAAAAATAATTTATAATTATTGAATTAATTGTCAATTAAACATAATTTATTTTTAGTGCAATGGCCATAACTAATTAGATTTTCAAATTAAATTTAAATAATATTTCTTGTTTCAAATATGTCCTTGTCTCCAACCAAATCTCACCCTTATCATGACATAATCATTGATCTCAGTTGACGAGAAAGCAAAAATCACCTAAAAGAAGTTACTTTTTCCGTTCTTAAATATCTGTAGTTTAAAGGTTTTACACAAAAATTAAAGAAGCTATTAAATAACTGTATTATGAGTAAAAAATAATTTTACAAGATTAAAATACTTTTATTCAATACGTATTGAGAAAAAAAAGAATATGAAAGATACTTAATCTTTACCTAATCTAATTCATTGAAAAGTTAAGGGTAAATTTGGAAGAAAAAATATTAATTATCTTTTGATTTTATTAAACGACAGATATTATGGAACAAAAAAATTGTGTAAAACGACAGATATTTAGGAACGGAGAGAGTACATTTCAATGAATATTTTTATAAATGAGTTATATTACAATTAAAAAATTTATTATTTTTATGAGTGATTTATTATTTTGTAAATATTTTGACCACCGGTTGAAATAGTTATGCAGATTGGATTGCAATATCATACGTGGGTCACTGGGTTCGGGTTGGTCAAATGGGTTGATTTTTTTGAAACCACTTTCACATTTATGGATTTTAAACACTCATGTCCAACCAGAAATAACAAGGCGAAATGAAGATGACCCGAGACGAATTTTAACCAATTCTTTTGATTAAGCCTAGAAAAATGCATTTTTACCTTTTTTGGTAATTTTTCGCAATAGAATAAATATCTTCTCATGAAGTCAAAATTAATTGTCGTAAATTCTGTCTTAATTTAGGTGATTAATTATTTTTAGTCATATGATTAATTTGGGACTTTCATTTTTGGCAAAATTAGTAATAATGACCTAATTACATTACTAATGATAATTATTAATTAGATTATGTTTTGATATTTCTTAGTTGGTTTTAATGTTTCTTGCACTATTTAAATTCTTGTAAGTCTTAGGGCTCAACAACTTTTGATGAATTAACAACATTAAAAGAGTTTTCTATTTTTTTCCTAATTATTTGAATATTCTTAGGAATCAATAGGACAATTGAAATCTTTAGAATTAGTATTTTGTGTGAAACAACAAACCAAGAGTAGGATTCTAAATTGGCATTTATGCACAAATCAAGCCGTTCCCATAGCCAGAGTTGTTCTCAACACAGATGGATTTTGAATGCCAATTTACAATCGGTAACATTTACAATATTTATTAACCCCAAAAGATCAACAACACAGAAAGCATTAATTATGATTGGCTTCCTCCGCCCTCTCATTTTTTTCCCCACCACTGCTGCTTTTCTCGCAATACCCAATCAACTGCACTGAAGAAAGAGGAGTATATATCGAATACAACGATGATACCATGTCACCATTGATGATATGATATCACCAACCAATAATAAAACCCCAACTAAAAAAGATGAACCTCACTTAGACTTACATGACAGAAGGGTGAGAAGTTATTTACTTGCATCACATGTTAGTTATTGATTTTTGTTGGGTCCATCTGTTTATTTGTTTTAGTACTATATGTTGATGATATCACATCACCTTGTCACGTGATATCACCATTGTAAATGAATATTTTCTATGGGATGAGAGGAGAATGAGAGGGAAAATTGGCACCCCAACTGTACATAAATGTTGATATGCCAAAAATACCCTCTACCGGTTGTCATGTGTAGGTCATGTGTTGGGTTTTATCCCTACTTAATGCTTGAATTTAACAAAATGTGTTGATTAAAATGATTTAAATAGTTCAAGGGTAAACTAAAAAAATTGAAAGTTGAGGAGAGAATTTAAAACAAAGACTAAAATTCAAGGGTCATTTATGTAATTTACCTTTTTTTTTGTCCGAGGAGTTTGCATATTCACTATCAAAGAATTCAATGAACCCTGCCCAAAAAAACAAAAAGAAAGAATTCAATAAGCCAGTTTGTTGACGGATGGTGGGCTCTCCACGGTGATTTTGAAGCCCAATGGGGCGACTAGTAACTTCTTTTCGTCTTCATTGGGTCGGTGGAAGAACCGTGGCTCAAATACCGATCGATCCCTATTTTGGCTTTCAAAACCATCGCCACGATGTCTGATCGATACATCTATTTACTTCTCGCTCTCTCTGAATATATAGTTGCATGTGTATGTATATGGTGAGATTTGTGATATGTGTTTGTTTGATTGGTGAGAAAGTCTGGGAAAATGGAAGGAAAGTGAATGAGGTAAAATTTAGGATCTTGAATACTGTATTGTATTTGAGCTGTGTTTTGAGCTTCTCTTTTTCTTTTTCAGATATTTGGAGAGTAATAGATGTCAGATTTTCTTCTCTGTTGGTTTTGTGACAATCCCTGATGGCAGTAGCTATTTACTGGAAGAAACAATTGAGCGATGAAATTACATTTGGGTGAAAGGCAGTTGATCAATTTGTTCTTTCACTTCATGTGGTGAAGGATATTCAACCCTCAACAGTGGGAAAGTCTGGTTCTAGAATTGTGTCGTCAGCTGATATTGCTTAAATTTCAATGGTGATAGGATTG